ATGTAAGAGGCCCGTGAAGATCCGGGGTAGAATAGGTCTTCAGCAACCTATACTTGCCGTAAAAGGTGACTATGCTTGTCGTAAAAGGCGACTAACGGGATCGGGTGGTCAGACTCGCTGACTTGGTTGATGCATGGCATCGATCCCAATTGCGTGGATTGATGCTCATGATAGCAATCACTGGATTGTGTGGTCCAGACTCGATTATTTACAGACCGCCGTCATATAGCTGGAATATTGCTGAGTGCGGCGTTAAACAACATACAAACCAATCTGGTCAAGGTGATATGAGTCATAAAATAGTCCAAAATCTCTTAAAACTAGTATTATTGACCCATTACATAAAGATTCTGTCCACAGGTGCGAAATGTTATTTACTATCATCAACCAAGAAGCTATCTTAAGAATCCATTAATTGTAGATTTTAAAGGCATTATCCCACCTCTGGTCAAGGTGATGTGAGTCATAATATAGTCAAAAACCTCTTAAAATTAGAAACATTGACCCATTACATAAAGATTCTGTCCACAAGTGTGAAATGTTATTTACTATCTGCAGCCAAGAAGAAATCTTAAGATTCCATTAACTGTAGATTTTCAAGGCATTATTCTACTTCACCTTTTCGCGAACACGCGGGTATCATAACTACAGTCCGTTTGACTCCAAATGAGAACGATGAATTGCAAAATAACTCGAAATCCAGAAAGTGTATGAAACATCAATACCGTACTTGACCATGAATACTCTGTACCCAACAAAATCTGAAATTTATTTATTTTAAGACCCATGACGGATGAAGTTCTTTAAGATACTATCATGTAATTTTGTATCGAAATGTGTACATGACACGTAGGGGGGACAAACCGTGGAAGGCACAGCGCAAGCACGCATGCACTGCACGTTCTGTGGTAGGGGAAATGACAGAGCGTTAGAGGGGCCGTCTCATGATAATTTCAGTCGCAATCTGACTCGCTCATGCCATAGATCTCGTCGTCGGAACTGCTGGTGCCTGAACCGACTGCCACTATTATAGGTTGGACTGTTGCTGGCCGTAGTCCATCTCGTGACCAATAACGTGGCTCTATCTCGTCAACGACTGTGGCCACACAACGCCTCCATGTTTCTACTGTTACCCGACCAAGGGATTCCTTTACGAGTTGTTCAACGTCTCGTAATTTGAACGTTGTGTTCGATCGTCCAACGTCACCCTTGACGATGCCCCATACCAACTCGATTGGATTCAGGTCGCAGTGATAAGGTGGCAGTCGTAAGACAGCGTGACCCTGACCTTTGTTGTCACTGTCAACTTTATACACGGGGTCAGGTTTCATAGTTTTGATTATGTCATAGAGCTGTGGTTTCGTCGCTCTAGAAGGAAAGGTAATGTTCCTCCGTTGCAGCCAAGTAACCATGTCTCCTTTACGGTTATTAGAGGTTGGAGTCTTGCTTTCTGGATCCTGCACACTATGATACGGTGCATTGTCCATGACAATGAGAGACTTGGTTGGCAAAGCAGGGACTAATTTATCTTTCACCCACTCCAGAAATAAATTGCCGTTCATTTCTGTGTAGTAGTCCCTGTTGTCTTTAGCCTTGGCTCTAAAGACGAGGTCACAGTCTGGGAGAAAACCCTGACTAGCAGAACCAGCATGGAGAACTATGAGTCTTTCTCCCTTTCCCATTGGTAACTTTCTACCAGACTCCTTACAGTCACCACTGGGTACCCACTGACTGCTGGCTGTGTGTGACACATTTACCCATGTCTCATCTAAGAAGCTCATATAATTCTTCACGTTTCTGCTTGATGGTACGAAGGTAATGATTTCGGAGACGAACAATGTCAGACCCTTCACACAACACAGTCCTATTTTCTCCAGTTATCTTTTTGTATTTGTAACCAAATGTATGCAACAGCTGTCATAGTTTGTACTTTGTAACACGTAAATCATGGTCAGTTTCAGGGTGTTTCTTCAAAAGTCTTAGGGACAGGTACTTATTCTCTGAGTGCAGTTTAACAATTGCACGTCTGACTTGATCCCTCTGAAAACTGTCTAATTTATCAACCTTGCTGGTTTTGACATGTTCCCTACCTCCTTGACTAACAACATTTTAAAGTTTCTGAGGGGACATACCAAGAGCTTTTGAAGCTCGTTTCAAGAATTTATTAATTGCATAAAAAGGCTTTGCTCTTTCTGCTTCACTTCTAAAGAAATCATACACATTAAACATCAACTGTTTAACATCTGCTGAGTAGCGCATCTTGTCATTGAATGAACACGGTCACTGTGTAGCACGTGCAGACCGTGCTTGTGCTGTCCCTTCCACGGTTTGTCCCCCCTACGTGTCATGTACACATTTCGATACAAAATTACATGATACATATGTAGTTTCTTAAAGAACTTCATCCGTCATGGGTCTTAAAATAAACAAAATTCAGATTTTGTTGGGTACAGGGTATTCATGGTCAAGTACCGTCTTGATGTTTCATACACATTTCTGGATTTCGAGTTATTTTGCAATTCATCGTTCTCATTTGGAGTCAAACGGACTGCAGTTGATAGTGATTTATAAACACAAGCTAAATGTACATTAGGAATGCACTCTGCTTTTAGCAGAGACTTCTTATGATGATGGAAATGGTTTACAAATATTTTGACATGGATCGATGGAGGTAGTTGTTGCGAGTAGTAACTAGTTCGGTGAATTACGTAACTGATATGATATGAATAATGATGAGTTGAATCGGCTACGACTCAGACAGGAAGTACTTGCGAGATCGGTTTTAGATCATCAGTAATGCAACACCATCTCAGATTATAGTTCCAGCTACGGCTGAACAAAGATCTGAGGGCATGCATAGGTCACGGAAGAACGACCTCTCGCGAACTTCGACCGACCAATGAGAATTGACAAGAAGTGACAATCAGAAGGCAGCCTTCTCGAGCTACACGGTAGAAAATGACGCCTTCCATTTCAGACCACAGGGCCATGTAACTAATAATAATAACAATAACAAACTCGCAAAAAAAATCGTAGACGAGTCCGAAGGCCGAGCCTTTGGCATCGTCTGCGAGCTCTTTTGTTACTATTATTAGTTACGTGGTCCTGTGGTATAACAGATGGCTAAGACGCAGTACTTTCCACGGGTTATGCAAAGTCTCTTCCGTTCAAATATTTATCCCATTAAAGCGAGAGAGACCCTGATTTTGCCGGATTCGGTCGTACAGGCCGTATAACTGTCGTTCGGAAGACCTCGTATTAACCTTTTCGGGGTTGCATGATTAGAACACGCATTCCAAATGTCACTTCCTGATCTGGTAAGCGATGCTCTCATTGGTCTGATGAAAGGTCGTTCTGATTGAGACCCGTAATGATATAGCGGTATAACGAGAACCAAAGAACTGATTTTAATGAAATTGTGGTTTCACCAACTTAGATATTCAATCAATATATAGTAGTGGTTGTCAATAATACACTGTAAAAAGGGAATTCGGTCTTAATATTTGACACCTTACTTCAGTTCTTCCATCTTGTGTTGGCTGCATAAACCCATTACATCTCTTCACAATTATCCCCGTGTGTGCGCGAGTTTGGCCGAACAGCTTTGAACAGTATTGCAATATATTACTCCAATTTCGATAAACATATCCTTTTCTATCATACACAAAACTGACTAGACTGAAGTCTAGTGAATATTTAAATATGTCCTATCAAAAGTTGAGTAGCTTATTATAATGAGACAGAAGTGTTTTGATAGGCATTTAGAAGTAATAAGCGCCCCTGGCGATATTTGGTAATATATTGGCTAGTGATCAATCCTAATTAGCACCCCTTCCGATGATCAATGTACACTTATTTATTCGTGTATAATACGCACTCGTGTGTTATATGCATCCTTAATTATGGGCAATTAAATTCTGGAAAATATGTCTGTCGGGTATAATACGCAGAGACTTTTCTTTTGTATCATTTCAGGCTGTCAGCATAAACCACGAAATTTACAATCTTTAAACTGTTTATTATCTCACCAAAATTCTAATTCCAAAAAGAACCCCCTATTTCTGATTTTGAGAGGGCCCTGGGCGCTTATTACCTCGAGTGAGTGACTGTGTGTGAGAGTGAGTGAGAGAATAAAAGAAGTTGCTTTCCATCAAAAGTGTCATGTATTCATATAATGAGAGGTAGGGCCAAAGTGACAGAAGCCGTCACATTCATTACTTTCTTGAAGACGAACAGTGTTTTCTCCAACAGATCAAAGCACAACTTCTCTTTACCCAGGGAGTCTCAGTGAGGATCCTCTGTAGTCTCCCTGCTTAAACAAAAGACAAAAGGGTTGTTTTTTTTCTCAGCTTTATTGCATTCAACTATAAACGTTCAAAATGCCCAGATGTAACACTTGGTCATGTAGACAACTTTGGCTTGCTCCAGAGAGAATAGGTCATGGTAATGTAGTTTGCTCACTTAACAGATATTCACCATGGAAGAGCCATTCGAAGGTAATATACTAAGTATGCAACCATCACCCTGAAACCTCCCAATGCTGTGCCTTACAGTACGGACACAAACCATGAACCATCTCAATGTGAGTGATTATATGAAGGCATCAGGACTCTCCATGGCAATACTTGCATACATATTAATCACTAACTCATTTTGGGAAATAAATTACACAGCATATGTATCTGAAACTATCAAACTGGTTCCTATGTGTATGCTCTGAAAGACATCTGTAACAGATACAGTACCCCTCTCTCAAAGCTGGGATACACTGCAGTAGTAAGCACGTTCACATACCCTGGAAGTGACTAGCATGTAGGCACTGTTCAAGAGTAGGCAAGAAGCCTCTTAAATGATTACAACAAAATCTTAGTACCATCCTCTTTGAATGATGGCAAGCATTCAAAAATATGAAGGCCTTCAAAATGGCTCTATACATCTCTAAGATCTAAAGTAGATGAAATCAAGTTTTTTCTAATGATATCACATTTTGATATTCATGTGGACTGACCGACCTCAAGACATTGCTCGAGGACATCATAAAAATACTGCACCTCAGATCTATCAATGATAACAAAATATTCATGTGAACAAACATTGAACTGTGTTCCACAACTCAATCATTCTCATATCTCGCTGACCTCAGGTGTCAAACCACAAATATTTTGTGCTGTTTAAAAATCTTCAAACACTGAAACTGTCAAACATGTCCCTTCTGACAAGTTCAATAATTATTTGGACCGAGACAGATTGAAACACACAATCTGGACTCCCAAGTGCATTAGACTCAAGTGTTTGTGTAGAATGACATACAGCACAAATATCATGGCATACGTTAGGGCGACACATTACTCCATTTACATGGAGGTGACCAAATGTAACATCTCGACGGTTAGCCAGACTTTTACACAACTAAATAAGTTTGTCAATATGAGAAAAATGCCGTCCCATATAAAAATCAACTCTCTCCTTAGTGCTTTATAAATTTGCCTCGTGGTTCTTGATTCAACCATTTAATAAAACCATGAAATGGTACATGTATAAGATAATGGCTTAAGTATCACATATAACAATGAAAAACAAATACTACAGAGTATTGCTGTATAGAAAAAAAACCTGCAATCCCATTGTCTGTGCAGAGAACCCTTTGTTCGCATATACATGGCAAAAACATTCTTGGGAGTTCTTGGGCAAATAACCATGTTTCGGATCATGAAAAGGTTGGGCAAGAAATAGTTAAAACAAAAGGAGAAAACTTGTTCAGTTTCCGTTGTTCTTTCAGCTTGTTCAGATATTACATAGGACTGGCATGGCTGCCCAAGAATCAAGACCTGTGTTTTGCCAAGGCCACATCTCCTACCATGCATTAAAATATCCACAGGTCAGGCAGGGAAACTGAATGACACTGGATCATACTGGTGTGAAAAGGGGCCGATCACATAGCAACCAACAGCCTAATTGCAAATCAAGACCTGTGTAACAGTCAGATCTAAGTTGGGAGGAGTACCTGTCATTCGTACATGACTAGTTCAGGACAATACAAATAATACTAATCAATAATAAAATCCCTGCTCTCACTCCCGTTCAGGGCTTCCCTGAGCTTAAACTTTACATATGGATCAACATGTTATATCTTTGCGCAGTTAAGAGGGCAACATTATTTTAAAAAATAACATGTAAAAAAAATAATGTAGTTTGATTATCATAAAATCCATGATAACTTTTATGATACATGATCAGAAAGAAAATTCAGAGATCCTTCAAGTAAGTACTCTGATCATGTCATACAGTGGAGACTACGTCCCTGTAAAGTAAGTAATGTCGAGTATTGATAAAAAGACATGATATGTTAGGCTCACCGATGCCAGCGAGTTTCATCTACACGATGGGAGACTGTTACACAGCCAAAATTTGAGTGGAAGGAACAGTGAATATTTCACTATGTGATCATAAGTTAACATTAACAGCATATCAAGATCATACCAACAAGTAAAATGCTCACATAAAAGAATGGGTACCTCTTCAAAATGCACAATACCCCATAATCTGCAGTTGGCTAGAAATGAATGACGCAATACGCCCTCATAGTCATCACAGATTGTTCAATGTGGTCCCTGGCGATATCAACATAAGTATGCAAGTACTTCAGACATCAACAATGCTCGACCCTGAGCAGGACCAGACAGACTTGCCAGCTACCAACAACTCAATTGCAGCCTCGCTCGCACACGCGTTCACACACGCACACTTCAGGCAGGCAGGCAGACAGGCACCCACTCTCACAAATATGGGAGCATTCTTCACAAGTCAGTGGGTAGGGAAAAAGACGTAAGCACCAAAGTCTCCGAGACATTAAGTTCCATTATTCAGGCTTGCCTAATGAACGAACCAACCATACAATTCATGCCAAAACACTCCCCATAATTGCTTGTGGCAAGGCCATTATACTGATGGATCATCATACAGGGAATTGCACATAGGGCTATCTATGTCATGAACAAGATCTATCACAGATATTGGGCTATGAAATAAGTGATATTCAAACCAATTTGAATGAAAAAGGTTCACCAAGGCAAGCCTGACATGTCTCTCAGATCGAGGCACCTATATGTGCTGGATATTCTCGGTTCTCTATGTAAGAACTCCAATGACTATATGGGCAAGAGTTTGAATGGAGGTTGATTAAAATAACATGATACTGGATGAAAATCACTTATGCTGTATTATGAAGTTGTACATAACATGGAATGTTGTATTATCATGTCATGATCAATTTGACTGTTGCGGACTTGAAACGTCCTATCACTAGCAGTAGGGTTTCTCTGCAGCTAAATGGGACCAGCCTATAGGTACAGATTGATCCTGTATAGACATAAATACTGTTGTATACTGTTGTATAGCGTACCATATTCTACCATACATGACAAAACACTAGTCGTCATCATCACTTCTTAACACATTGCACTAACTTTGGAGTACAGGAAATTGGCACTTGAAATGCAAATAAATAGGCTTCGATCATTTGTGAAATGGGTAGTGGAATTTCAAAGTTAATTCAGACAGTTAGACTATATACATCACATGACAATGGAATACGAGGCAAATGAATGTCATGTTAAATTCTAACTATAACAAAGCATAATATTTCAACTGACGGTTCCTTTATATGAATAAATGTACGGCATATATTTGTTGTGAAACATTAAAGAAATATAGAACATTCTCAAAGAACAATTTTGCTGTGTCAACAAAAATGGTTCCAAATGTTTAACTACTCAATTGATCTCCGATAACCTCTATCCCTGCCACCACAGTTTGGTGCATTAGCTTAAAATTTGGGAGCAGTCATTTTGAGGTATCCCCTGATTGAATGGATACTTCTATTCACCTTATTACTCCATATTTAGTACATATCGAATAATATAATTCATAGATTACTGTAATGCAACTTTTAAAGCTAAAGGAAAGAGTTTCACAATCGACGCACAGGGTTTAAGTAGTGAACATGTAGTGAGGCATCATTCTCAATAATTTCAATCTTGCTCAGCGATGCATCAACGAGACCTCTGGCAATCAGAGAACAGCCCGACCTGGCCTACACAGTTCCATACATGTATTAGTTACAAATATCTGCAAAATGTTTTGATTAAAACAAATATGTTAACACTTCTTGGATAAATGCATTGAGAGTGAACATGGTGTTCTTCAGGCAGGGCATTTGAGGTAAAGATGTGTTAACATACAAAGTCTTCGTGAAGTGCCTTGCAAGTGTGAACTGTACTGGTCACACGTAGTAAGGTACGACTAATTACGCACCTTACACAGGTTAAGAGATGAACAAGACAAATACATTACATTTTGTAGAAATATGGCACTTCAGTTTGTCAATGCCCTATTCAGGGAGGAGTCGACAACGTTCGGCAATACATATAAAACCCTGTGCTTCTGTTTTCCCTTCGTATGTGCTTTGAGGCTTAGGAAATCATCCCTCTGTCGAACACAGTCAGCTGACTATGATCAGCCATAATAAGTCCCACCTTACAACCAACCATCTATCTAGGTATCACTAATACTTTCTGCATTAGTGATCTGTCAGTGGACTTGGATTTGCACATACACGACCAAATCTGAATTTATCACAGGACGGCATCTTATACACAAAAACTAATCTAAAATATAACACCAAGAAAATTGTTTTAAAAATGATGATAATAAAAAGCCTGGCTCTTTAGATGGAAACAGGTGAAGAACCAGTATAAACGTGTGAGTTTCCAATTGTTTCGATAATTTACCAGTAGTAACAGATGAACGATTACATTTAAAACAAGGCTCATAAAAGTCTTCCAGCATTGTTGGATGGACTAAACGTCGTTCCATCAACAGTGAGTATCTCTGTATTATAAAATAACACAATTTCCACATCTGTATTAAGTGAGTGAAGACATTTCACCCAACAAGTGATATTTTGAAAGACAGCACAACTGTCTAAATAGATGCTGAACAAATCCAGCCATTTTCATGTAAAATTTGCAAAAATTGACAGTTTTGTTTTCTTCATCTGTAACTTCAGAGCGTAACAGTATCCTGTCACAGGGGTACATTCTGATATTGTTGAACAGTGCAAGGCGTCAGCATGCCTTGCAAGGTTAACTTTGGCACAAGTCAAGACCACACACGAGTCTTGATCATGCACAATATCAGTCAAATAATTGTTACTGGTTCCATCAACTGTTTGCCAGTCAAAATAACAAAGTGCACCGTTCCAAGCAATATGTGAGAAGGGGAGGTAACTGCACTGACAAAAACCAAACTGGAGTTGAAGGGAGACAACTGCAGCTTTGTCTCCTGTTCCAGCACGTGGAGGTCAGCAGTGATTTAGTTGCCCCACCAGTCGTTAGCAGCTGGCTGTTGGTTGTACGCTCCTCCATAGTTGCTGTACTGGTTGTACTGGTTGTAGTGGTTGAAGCCTTGCTGCTGGAACCCAGGGGTCGCAAAGCCCCCAGATTTACCCTGCTTACTCTGTTGACGGTAATCACGAGCTCCAAATCCTCCAGATCCATAGCTGGAAGGGAAATGCACACAATGACTACATGCTGACAAAACACTTATTAAGTGAGTGAGTGAGTGAGTGAGTGAGTGAGTGAGTGAGTGAGTTGGGTTAAACGTCGCTTTTAACAGTATTCCAGTTATATCACGGCGTGTCAGATTGATGTGGGAGGAAAGCCCGAAGTGATGCAGGTCTCAGACATTTACCACTTCGGTGAAACCCACAAGCACGGGTATGGTGCTGACAAACCTAGAAACATAATCAGGGCGAACAAGGATTCAAACCCACAACCATAGGTTTCTGGCGTGCCCAAGGGACGCAACTCTGCACAGCGAATCGCGGCGCCTTAGACGACTGGGCCACCCGTGCCCCCCACACTTATTAAGAAGTTGCGAAGGAGTTATTCTTATAAAGGCATATACTCTTATTACTTCTTTTATTATTAAGCATTTTTTCAGCTCAATCACAAAGATTATGAAGTAGAGATCTCTGAGCGACGGTAAATCAGTCCATACCACGACACACCAGGGACCATGATAAGAAAAATTGGGATTCAAACCCATCACTTGCAGGATCTTGGTCCGACTATGGGACACTATTCTGCCACCTTGACAACTCTGCTACCCATGACCTCGAATTCAACAAAAGGTCGGAAAGAACATCTGCAGCAGACATAAACAGACGTATCTTCTTATTGTTTATTGTATGGTATTAATCTTGTCATGCTGATCCAATTACGTTTTATACAGAGTATATCCTGCAACATACCGTCTCCCACCGCCACGTCTGCTTGTTCCGCCAGATGAACGAGCCTCGTGAGCCATGGACTCGAGCCAAGTTGGAACCTCCTGATTGGCTTCCACTAGCAAGTCCAGCAGGTCACGGATAATGTTCTTATTCTTCTCATTGAAGAAAGACGTGGCAAGACCTGGAAACAGAAATATATGGAAGCAATTATAACCATGTTTTAGAAGCTGTCCCTCCCTTAAGATCTAGTGTCATTTTCAAACATCTCTCCATGCATTCATTTGCAGGAATTCAAACATTGCTTGGGCTCAAAATGATTAATTTCAGTTGCTAGCAAATATTTATCAGTCATGAGTACCTGTGGTATGTAGATTAGGTGATCACTATGCACATAAGTCAGGATGCCTTTCATAGCATGGAATTGATAAGCATCTACAACAGTCTATGAGTCAACTAGCCGAACTTTTCTCACAGGAATATTTTCAGTAGATTTTAGTCTTAGTAATGTACTATCATGACTATTGGACGAGCTTACTATATGTACCACTACAAATGGCTACATATCCTTCCGAATTCATGTTTGTCTATCCCGAGAATATAAATCTGTGCTAAGGAAAAACACAAATCCCATGATGGTAGTCCTCATTGACTAGTAGTATTTGAGGGCTATAATTCCGAAAAAGTTCTCAATGCTTAATTTTTTCCAGAAACTGGGACTAAAAACATCGGAGATCAGTTAACATTTGTCTTCTTCAAATAGGACCAGTACAAATTCTGGGGATTACTGAAAAAAGGTTTACACTAGTACTAAAAGAAAACCCAAATTTCTAAGGCTGGCTGGCTGCCTGTCATGCACCTACAACGTAACGTTTGTTTTTCCAATTTCAGTTTTATGGCTATAGCCGATTCAGGGAATGAGTATTTGCAGACATCTTTTACCCCATGAAAGCCTCACAGAAGTTGTCACTAGCACTTGTCCTTTCCCACCATAATTACTAGTACATTTGGTGACAATTTTCCAGGAAATGATTCTTTTTGTTGTCGTCAAATGCCACGCTTAGCAATATTCCATCTGTATGACAGCGAGTCGGTAAATAATATAGTCTGGACCAGACAATACAGTGATTGATATTGTGAACAATGATCCATCCTTTTAGGGTATGATGACACTACAAACTGAGTCACCGAGCCTGACCAAGTGATCCATTTGGTTGCCTCTCACAAGCTCAGGTTGCTGGGGATCTATTCTATCCCATAATCCCCATTACAGATTAACTTATTCAGCTACATTGCTGTCTAATACTACTAGCATCCTCTATGATAGAAGCTGCTACTCACCAAGGTTGCCGACACGTCCAGTACGCCCAATTCTATGGACATACTCTTCAATGTCACTTGGCAGATCAAAGTTGATGACGTGACGAACGTTGGGAATATCAAGACCTCTTGCAGCAACCTGAAAGTATTAAACAAGTATCAGCTACAATGCATTCATGATATGTTGATAAACACTGCACTCAACAAGAGTCATCAGAAAGATGAATGTTCTTGAAGAAGCATACATTGTTTACCCACAAAAGATCCACCATGGTCGCATCCATATGAAATGCAAATTAAAAGACGTGTGTTTCTGTGGATTTTTTTTATGCAAACAAATGACAAATTATAAGCATCAATAACTAAACAAGCGTATAGTCGACGAAGTCATCTATATCCCCCACCCATTTTAACATGTTATGGTCCCAAACAAGGTAACTGATCCAACATTTCTCTCAGCCCATGTCAAAAAAGCTGCAATGGAAATTCTAACATTTCTAAAACTCCTTAATATCAAATGGCACCAGTTCAGTATGTGCTTTTTATATAGACATGCAATGTTTGGCAGGGAAATATTTAACAGTTTATTTGTTATACTGCATAAATGAACCCACCCTATAATAAATTTTAAATCCAAATTGTTGCCATGGAAACATAAAAAATAAAAATTTCAAAAATTCCTAAATAGCAAAAGGCACCACTTCAGTATGTGAGTGATAGATTTGCCAAGTTTTGATCAAATACACTGAATGGTTTTTGAGTTCTGCCCCGGAAAAGGAAATGATTACGGACGGACGGACAGACTGGCTGAACACTTTTCCCCCCCGCATTATCTGCCGTGGGGATAAAAATATTCACTAGCAATGTGACAGGGCATGTAAATAATCAACTCCTGACCCAACAATCCAGTGATTTATACTGTGCGCAAGGACCCACACTGCAAGTGCATGTCACTAAGCCCGACCACCCAAACCACAAAGTTGCCTCTTATGGTCAGCGTAAGTTGTTTAGGAGCAGAATCATAAAACACAGGGGATTGTTACTATCAAACACCTTAGGAAATTTAGCTTGGACAATAGATTCTAATCTATAATTTGCTCCACGAAAACAGAATACATACCGCAGTAGCTACTAGGATCGGCCTGTCTCCTGAACGGAACACCTTCAATGCATCCTCCCTCTCGCGCTGCGACCGGTCGCCATGGATACTGGTAGCAGGATAACCCTCCTTTTGCAGGAACTCCTCCAGTGCATCGGCACCCTTCTTGGTCTCGACGAAGGTCAAGGTGAGGGACTCGGGACCTGTAGTGAACATGCCTTTAAGACATGGAGAGGGTATTAGACATTTGCTCATGTAGGAGAGATACCCTTGGGTGACCTCACTTCAGCAATCAGCATGCACAAAGAAGCCCATCAGACAATGAAAATCGTTTCAATTCCAAAGAGGATTTCAATACGAGGAATTCACACATCATTTGGGCTTGTTATCGAATCTTATATTCCACCACTGTATTTCCAGTTCAGAGTCCAAACGTACCGCCGAGGTTAATATTAAGATAAATATGGAAAAGACAAAAGGTTGCAGAGAGAAGCTAAAGGGATTTCTGTTATGTTGCCAAAGCTCAGGTTAATCGTGGAAAGGACTAACTGTTTGAAACACTGGCATTAGGTGGGAAAATATAAGGAGTAGCAAGTTATAATAGAGCATTATCAGGGCTCGAGTCAAGGAACTTGAAAACCAAGTGGTACCAAACAAAACAAGGTTGCACATGTGTGGAAAGTACGAGTTCAGAAACAAATTTAGATGTATTTTTTTTCACATTCACTTGGTGTAGGTAGACATATAGTAGGGCGGTTACGATACACTTGTGTATTCGATGAATCGAACCGAAACCATTCATGAATTGAATTCGTTATTCATGGCCACTAGAACCGAATATTTATGAATATGCTATCATGTATATTTACATATCCTGTACCTAAAAATATCCATAACTTTTATATGCATAGATTTCTTTCAATGACAACACCCTAATAATATTTAATTTGATAGTATTGTTTTCACTGGTCATTGTCGCATTTGAGCAGATACTAGAGCCTGGATAAGTGCAGTATATAAATGCATAATTTATTAATAATTAACAAACCATGTCAAATAAATTATGATGTTATTGTTTCACTGAATATAATAAATAATACATAAACTGCTGACTTGTTATTGTAATTGTGAATTAATATTCGTATTCGTTACCCTATATTCGTGATATGAATCGTATTCGCCTCATAGTGTATTCGTTGCAGCCCTACATATTAGGTTGCATTTTTCAACAATAGGCTGCACTTATGAATGTTTTATATTGCCACATCAAGCCCTGACTATCCAGGAGGCAGAGAAGGTGAAAGGAGAATTATGTACCATAGTGTCACAGGCAAAGGCTCATCCTTAATAACCGACTCCCTACTGTGGAAGGTAAGGAAAGTTGTCTGTCTTGGAAGTCAAAAAGACTACCCATAAAAAGTTAGTGATAAACAACTTCGTGACCAGCATTCACCTGGAGGCCCTTTTTAAGGCAAACAATCCTATCAAGCAACCTATTACTGGTTATCAAAGAAATTAGGGTCATTATTTTATCATAATTGGTTTTTGTTGTTTGCAAACTTGGCTCCTGAAAATGTGGACAGTATAGATTGGGGAGATCATGATAAATCCAAAGAGTCGTGATAAAACTCTCCCCTGCACTTTTGACAAATGAATGTGACAGACCCAGTGGTTATGATAGGCATATACCTGCAACACTAGAGTGGAACATTTCAGTTGTCTCAGCAGTTATTAAATTAACAAGAAATTGCTGTCTGAGGACAGTTTTCTTTAAATTAACAACAGACTGCTGTCCTAGGACAATGAATCGCTTATAAACACTTATATTGTATATTCACATGTACTCATTTTTCACATTACTACACTATTGTACTTATGGTCATGGCAAGCATACATGTAGAAATTCAGAGGAAAGGGTTCAGTAAATTTAAGCCTTTAAATATTGTAAAATACTTGAGATATGGTTGAAAAGATTAGTTCTGTTAAAACTGGGATTTGACTGGTTAGCTTTTCTCAAAGGCCTATCATAGAATAAATACTAATCACCCAGTCATATTGAAATAAGTTATTAATGCCATTATACAATGCTCCATCAACTTGGTGACAGCTAAATAATAAACAAATGTGCGTAAAGTGTTTCAGTGTAAAGCAGCTGAAGCTTGCGCCACTCTGCAAGGCTACCTGATGCATTGATAAGATCAAGGAGGAAGGATCTCTTCTCGTTCTCCTCCACCCACACCACTTTCTGCGTGATGTTCTCACTGGTACTGCCAACTCGGCCCACAGCCAAGAACACGTAGTTCTCCAGGAAATCACGGGCTAGGATCTGTAAGGGAAAGCCAGATGAAAGGTTCTTCTCTATGGATGTTTAAACAAGAAAACATGGTATTGCACCACTTTCAGCAATAATCAGCGTTAGAAATCCTATGGACTATCAGAAATTTGCCCTAGTGTTTTGCTATATGTTATCATTGTAAGGACCAGTGGACTAAAACTGTTAGTTTCTACCGCTGATAATCCAGCCATATCCCAAAAGGGCACACCAGAAAAGGGCTCCAGACATTGTTGCAATGTGAGGAATTGAACCAGGCTTTTGGCATGTCAGGTGAATGCTTCAAGAACTAGTTCCTGACCTACATTCACTTGAATTAAAGTGAGAGTATAGTTTTACGCCGATTTTAGCAATATTCCAGCAATATCGGTGTGTGTGTGTGTGAGAGTGTGAGAGTGTGAGAGTGTGAGAGTGAGTGAGTGAGTGAGTGAGAGGGGACACCAGAAATGGGCTTCACATATTGTACCCGCACCTGAATTAAAAACTACACTTAGTTCAAAATGTATTAAAATGTTATAATGGAGAAGAGAAACCTGCATATAACAGTGTAAATAATGCTGTAGATAATTTCAATGCAGGTCATAAGTAACACAAAACTTGCCATTGTTAAGTACCAACCTGATCTAGCAATACATTCTGATTGGTTGGTTGGTTTGTTGTTTAACGCCGCACTCAGCAATATTCCAGCTATATGATGGTGGTCTGTAAATAATCGAGTCTGGACCAGACAATCCAGTGATTAATTTCATGAGCATCGATCCATACTACCCCGGTGTCTTCAAGGGCACATTCTGAAGGTTATATCTTGGCTCATGTAAGGCAGCACCTACCTGGATCTCCTTGGGGAAGGTGGCACTGAACATGAGGGTCTGTCGTTCTCCGGATGCAGGCATGCCATTTTTCTCCACTATCAGACGAATCTGGGGCTCAAAACCCATGTCCAACATACGATCAGCTTCGTCAAGAACCAAGAACCTATAAAAGTGAAATAGTTAATACAATTTCACAGATCAAGCAAACTCCAGATATGAATGAATGTAATTACATTTTACGTTGTAACCCATCAGACAATGAAAATCGTTTCAATTCCAAAGAGGATTTCAATACGAGGAATTCAAACATCACTTGGGCTATATCTTGCAAAGAAACAATTACCAAACACTGCTTTATAACTTAATCAGAAAAATCACAGAGAAGCTAGTGTTGGTAAGTATGATGAAACCAGGGTCAATCTGCTTAGTTTGTTTGTTTGTTGTTTAACGCCGCACTCAGCAATATTCCAGCTATATGACGGCGGTCTGTAAAATAACCGAGTCTGGACCAGACAATCCAGTGATTGACATCATGAGCATCAATCCACGCAATTGGAATCGATGACATGCATAAAAGCAAGTCAGCGAGCCTGACCACCCGATCCTATTAGTCGCCTTTTACGACAAGCATAGGTCGCCTTTTACAGCTAATATGGGTTGCTGAAGACCTATTCTACCCCGGAATCTTCACGGGTCAATCTGATTAGTCAACCCTACCATCTTATGGAAACAACTCTGCAGTGTCAGACAACCTACATCTCAACCAGACAGGGACTATGTTCATAATTGTGTTTTTATTTTGATGTTATGTATTGTGATCTTGATGTTATGTATCGTGATCTAACATTAAAGTATCACGTCACAACAGGTCATGGAGGGCTATACATCTCAGGATCCCCCAAAATGATATTGGTCATCTAGGCGAAATGCATGACCTAAGGTATAGTTATGACAGTTTGGTTCAATGCTGCCTTGAACAATACTTCAGTTACATCTGACACAAGTTTGATGAAGGATTGTTGTTAACCCCGATCTTCAAGGGTCAGTTTGATGGAGGGAAACCTGGAGTAATGAAGGTCTTACCGACCAAGGATCATAATGGAGCTAAATCTGGCCTTCAAACCCAGACATCACAGCCAGGCACCCAAGGAAACCAGTCCGCATAGCTAGTTGTAGTGCACTAGACTAAAGACCCAGCTATGCATTAAATTCATAATTACACCCTGACCTCAGAATCAGAATACACACAGATGCCCATCAGACAATAAAAATCGTTTCAATTCCAAAGAGGATTTCAATACGAGGAATTCAAACATCACTTGGGCTATATCTTGCAAATAAACAATTACCAATCACTGCTTTATAACTTAACCAGAAAAATCACAGAGAAGCTAGTGTTTGTAAGTATGATGAAACCAAGGTCAATCTGATTAGTCAACCCTACCATCTAAGGGAAACAACTCTGCAGTGTCAGACAACCTACATCTCAACCAGACAGGCACAATGTTCACAATTGTGTTTTTATTTTGATGTTATGTATCGTGATCTAACATTAAAGTACGTCACAACAGGTCATGGAGGGCTATACATCTCAGGATCCCCCAAAATGATATTGTCATCTAGGTGAAATGCATGACCTAAGGTATAGTTATGACAGTTTGGTTCAATGCTGCCTTGAACAATACTTCAGTTACATCTGACACAAGTTTGATGAAGGATTGTTGTTTACCCCGATCTTCAAGGGTCAGTTTGATGGAGGGAAACCTGAAGTAATGAAGGTCTTACAGACCAAGGATCATAATTGAGCTAAATCTGGCCTTCAAACCCACAGACATCAAAGCCAGGCACCCAAGGAAACCAGTCTGCATAGCTAGTTGTAGTGCACTAGACTAAAGACCCAGCTATGCACCAAATTCATTATAACACCCTGATCTCAAAATCAGAATTCACACAGACGCCCATCAGACAATGAAAATCGTTTCAATTCCAAAGAGGATTTCAATACGAGGAATTCAAACATCACTTGGGCTATATCTTGCAAAGAAACAATTACCAAACACTTCTTTATAATACCTTAAAAACCAAGGTCAAGCTGACCAGTTGACCCTATCATCTATGGGAAGCAACTTTGCAGTGTCAAGTTGCAATCACTGTCTGGTGGAAGGGTAGGCCATCAGAAATGCCACACCCTAACAATTGTAAATACACTCACTTGCAGTAATCAAGCCCAATCTTGCCTCTCTCCACCATGTCGACAAGACGGCCAGGGGTTGCCACGAGCATGTGGCATCCACGATCTAGATCTCTCATCTGTGCGCCAATGTCCGCACCTCCATACACCACACATGGCCGAACTCGGGATCTGTAAGCAAACTATAAACACACCAACATTAACTGTCATTTACCTGAGATTGAAATTCTTCAGACTAAAAAGGATTTCTATTTGTTCTTTGATACATGAGCTAGTTTTAATAACAATTAACCAACGTCGGAGAAAACAATTGCATGAAAACATTTGTTTTAGGGATCAATCACAAACTTTGGAATCCACTTGCACAACTGATATAGAAAGTCAAAGTGAAGAGTTCAGTTGAAAATCTGAAGATTTTATAGTGTGGTGACATCCATGATGCAGGACGTTTGGCTCACATGTAATAGTGGCAGGGGCTTTGCAATAATTACATAATTTCAAATCCATACAACATCTGGAAAGAGTTTGGGATGGGTTATGGTCAACTTTCAAATATACTTTTAGATTGCATTTAATTAAATCTTAGCTTGACCCCTGTAGAAACTTATTTAGTGTGGAAATAATGGCTTTCTGGGGACAATTCAACACTGGTGGGTGATGGCCCGTGTTCATAAATCCCAAAAATTTGATCATCCTTGTATCATAAACTCACCTTTCTGGCTTCATCGTAGATCTGAGAGGCCAGTTCTCTTGTGGGGGCGAGAACCAAGGCAATGGGGTACTGCTTAGTACGCTTGCCGTATTGTCGCTGCTGCTTTGAGAGATACAAAACATGTCATTACACACAAACACGTCATTACACACAAACACGTCATTACACAGTAACACATCGTTACACGGTGAAACATCACAACAGTCAACAATGTATACCCTAATGTTGAAAACACATCTGTACCCTGTTGTGGAAATTAAGGGTTCATATTCTGCTGCCTCAGTTTATTCAATATAATAGCTGCATTTTCTTTAGAAAATCCAAATATTGAAAAACTTTGCACCTCTCCTAGGTAAAAAAACTGTTCACCAAGTTTGAAAAGAATCTATGGGGTAGTTTTCAAGCTATAGGTCAAAAACAAAAATTTCCTTGAAAGGATAGACAAAATTCCTTGGAATGACTATATAGTCACAAACTCTAAGGGTATAATATTACTACCTGTTGAGGGACTTGACCAGGTCCTTTGTCGTAGATCTGGTTGAGGATGGGCACAAGGAAAGCAGCAGTTTTGCCAGAGCCTGTCTGGGCACATGCCATCAGATCTCTGTGGCCTAGTACGATTGGGATTGAGTACTTCTGCACAGGGGTTGGCTTAGTGTACTTGCTCAGTGCAATATTGTTCCTGATGATCTCACCAAGTTCACAGTCCTCAAACTGAAAACAGTTAAGAATCATAGTATTAGGCATAGTCGTAAATGATTAATCACATAGTTCTCTGACCTTCAGATGTGGTGAATTGGACATATGAGACACTATAGAGATATAAATTGGTCATTAGGGATGAAACATTTGGTGCTCTGGTGCATCTGGAGCTTTTATGTGATGATGCGATACACAATAGGCATTTTTCTGTATCGATACAAGACAATACACTAGCTGAAATACATTACCTACTCTTTTCATGATCTCCAATGTCTTTGTCAGTCAAATATGTGTTGTAATTAGCATTTTGAGTTCACTTCTAAATATAGCTGCTACGAACATGTATCTATAGCTGGGTTTTCCTTTTGAACCCGTTCTGAAATATTTCATTATCAAGAAGTTTCCATGCGATATGACGTATATATGCGCATCGTGATACGTATCGTATTGTGACCCATGTATCGTCATACAGACATGGAACACTTAACCTTGCTGTATCTTTTCACCCATGTTGGTCATCTTCAAAATAAATAAAGGATAGTTTGGGACTTAAATTCAACATCAGTTGTCTAATCTTGATTTAGTTAAACTGAAAGGTAAGCCTGAACATGCCAGAAGGAGCACCAAAATCTCAACACGAGCCTGCAACAAGTTACATACACTAGATTGTGTCATATGAAAGCAATAAATCTTACACTGTCAGCAGCTCTGGGAAGGTTCTCTCCACTAGCATCAACAGGAATATCATCATATTTCTCAAAGTTGATGCCAGTGCTGCTTGATCCAAATAGCTCCCTGAAAGATAGTAATTACAATCAATTATCAGTGGCATCTAGGAACAATATCAGTAAACCATTTAATACACACACAGCACAAAATTGAGTTTGATGTTAAGACTGAATATGCAAGTACCAATCACGTCATGTTGAATGACATCTGATCAAGATTTACTCACTGTTCAAGTCGTTCATTTTTCGGCAAAGGGATAGACCAGTCTTCGTTGCGGATATCCTGGTTCCCATTACGGCCGGCCCATGCGTCGCCGTCAGTTCTGTTGTCCCACTTGTTGTGGCCCCACTCTCGTTTACGTGGGGTGCGGTCCTCGGCCAGGGCGTCCCATCGGCTGCTTCCCACAGGCTGTGGGGGAAGACTCCCCTGCCGGTCATACTGTTCTCCACCCCATCTGTTGTCGGGTCTTTAACAAGCCATCATAAATGATTAAGGACTACATTAGAAATTAAGGGGATATTTAAAGTTATTGTTAAAAGGGAACTTCCTTGCTGTTTCCATGCTGACATGAGGTGTTGCATTCTGTAACTACAGCTTGCTGACTACAAGGTTCATACTGACATGGAACACTTAAATTCAAGGCCTTTTCATTCTCATGTTTACTCTCACAATTAGGCAAATGAAGCTCTAAAACAGGGGCAGTAACTCTGTCAAAATTAGTTGAAATGAAACGGGACTGCGATATGCATATCAACATGTCGACATCTTATGTGTAGAGTGTCAGGGATATTCTCTGGAAACTGTAGGAGGAGCTGATTTCACAAGCTTAGTACCCTCTGTGGGACGGACAGACGGCGCCACGACATAATCCCCCTTCGGCCATTCTGGCCCGGCGGGGGATAAAAGCAGTATGAACATCACAAATTTCAAAACAAGATTGATTTTCACAATCGTCAAAGAAGAAAAGAAGTCGTGTCATGAATGTCACTGTGATAAATGACACATATTCTTGTTACATAACTTGTTTTTGTGTTTTAATACCTTTATATACAAGGTTGTCATTTTGTCCAAATTCAAGGCTTTTCAAGGTTGACACTAAAAACCTACATTGAATCAGCACTTATCACTTAATTCAATAAGGTTAATTTGGAGAAGTGCTTGAAGTACACGGATTCTACCTGTCATTTCTTTGGAAGTTTCCACCACTTCCTCGTCGGTTATTGAAGTTGCTGAAGCTGGCGCCCTGTCTCCCGCCTCGGTTGAAGGTGTTGTAGCCACCCTGGTCTGGAATTCCTGGAAATAAACCGAGACCTCAAAGCTGGTGTACATATATTATACCTATTGCAACTGAAGTATTCTCAATATCATGCAACCAAATAAAGATCCTGTCTGGCATACCAGAAGGAAATGGTTCATGAACAGCTGTGGGGTAGAAAACGACATGGTGGGTGGGTTAGTGTTGATGGGGTAGGGAGAAAGGGATGGTTAGGCGGAGAAACAAATCTGAATGGATCCAAGCAGCTGTATCATAAAATACTTATAGTGACGGATATAGATCATCCTGATGGACCTACCGCCAGTATCATAGATGAGTATTTTCGTTTTCAACGCCTAACTACTTCGGTCTGAATTGACATCAAGGTCTTCAGGGTGCCAAACATGTTACTATTTCAATTATCATCTCTGTCTATTCTGTGGGATTACGGTTATTTCGCGGAAAATAGAACATTTATTGGTCTCAATACATGACTTACATTGTCAATGGAGGAAACAGATTTCACTAGTCTTCCCGATAAACTAAGTCAACAAGATACATAAAATGTCAACCTTCAAAGTAACACATACCACAATCATTACATTTTACTATTTATCTGGATGTCAATGACTTTCTCTAAGGGACTTCTATTGGTCTGATGCAATTTTCCAGTGTTTCTTAACACTTAACACTATATCTAGTAAAATGGCACTGGTAGACAGTTGATGTGACCTTTGTGCCTCACTCTATTAGCACCAACATGCCAATGTTTCATTTCTCATACTTGGTCTTGTAACAGCAAGAACATTTTCAAAAGTAAAACATCAAATCTACACCAAAACAAAGACGCTTCATTCAAATGAACCATGTGTGGGTTGCGATCCCGAAAACAAATAACAAATTGTCACAGTTGGCATGTTAGTAGCCATAAATGAAAGCATACTCTACTGCAGAAGATTTCACCCCTACATGTTTAACATTATATTTGAATCCGATATTTATATCCTTAGACACTCCAATAGCGTCATTATGCTTGCTACACACAATACACGACACTATTCATTAACACAGCACAAGTTTAATACCTTAACCATTGGCCTCTCCAATTTTAAAGACTGCTTTGACGTAGCTCAAATATTGCTGACTCGGCCTAAATCATTCACATACATCACAAAATTCAGACTAACACTCCTTACTCACACTCTTACTATAAAAAAAAAAGAAAAAAAATTACCCATAAAAAAAAGATCTACAATGTCTACTGCAGAGAAAGCACAACAATCATTTACCCTGAGGCCCAGGCATGGGAGCACTGTAACCTCCGCGGTAACCTCCCGGACTGCTGTTGTAACCTCCACGATAGCTACCGTCTGAAAAGTAACTTCACCAATGTTACAATGTTAAACCAAACGAGGAGCAATCATTGATGTGCAACTACTGGGCCAGATAAGATCAAATATCAATAGTTGACTATCGATAGTTTCAATATATGTACACACCAAAAAAAATACACTGATAAACAAAAATCATGTACTTTGCTATGTTGGCTGCTTGGAGTGAACTGTTCAAACGGTATATAGGTTACACAGAGTAACCTCCGACCACTCCAATGTATGTATTGATGCACTAACAAACTTAACGACTCATTCACTGATGATGGTACAAGCACTGCACCATGTACACAATGCTGGGCACTTAGTCTTCCTTATGTGTTAAGCAGGACATATCGAGACCATTCATGACATTGTTATCATTGACCAAGCCCTTGATGAACCTTCACATTAGGCCTATGGTATCATACAAGCTAGGTTTAATATCAGATAGTTTTCTAGTAAATTTGGTACACCGACTAAGAACTAGAATCACCACTACATTTGAAAACAAGGTCACATAATGCTGGACAGAGTTAAACAAGTCCTAAATATGCTTAATAACAGCAACACTCAAGGTATCCAGAGCTGTTTTTTTTATCCACTCTAAAGTTAACACAGGACAACCAACCTCTTCCATCACCCCCCTGCTGACCGTATTCTCGCCCACCACCCCAACCTCTCTGCTGTTGTGGTTGTGGGGGTGGCATTGGTGGGGGGACCTGGGGAGTCATTATCCCTTGGGGTCCTCCTCGCATGTGAGGGGGGACATAGCGCCCTGCCTGAGGAGCGGCACCTGCAACAGATGACCAATGTGTCACCACTGAGAACCAACACATGTTAACATGCTTAACAAGATTTCGCTTATGCATGTCTTAAGGTTAAATTATAAAGAAAGCATTTTAGCCTGTAAAACAGACAAAGACCAATTTGTTTAAATATTTTCTTTCTAATGGAAGTTATGATAGATATACGATAGTTGAAGCCAAACGACTCAATGCTTGATTATGTAGAGTTGACATTCGTCAATATACCCTTAGCCACAATTGGTCAGATTGTCAAACTGTACATGTTGATCACATATTTATTCACATAAAATACATATCTGATATATCAAGGTGACGAAATATTGTGGACAGTGCATACGAACAATATTGATATAGCAAACGAAACCAATCAATTGTGAAAATGTGCAAAACTAAACCAAACAAGTTTAAAATTTGTCTAAGAATAAAATGTTTATTAATACAGATGAAGGAATACAATGTTTCCACGCCACAACATAGTTCGTGTTTCTAGATTCACTTGTTCTCGTCATGCTGGTAGATACGAGTTCATCTTGTTCACAAACATATAAACATAATAGACTGGTTCCATCAGTAGATCAAATAGGTGATAACATAAATAAAACTAAATTTACCAAAAAGGACAAATGTGACTGCAGAAGGCCCTGTCAGGTACATCATAGAGTAAAGATAAAAGATACTAATGTGCTCCCATTCCTAGTTTCAGCATCTTTTTGATCAGTTCATTCTTCTATGACATTGACCACTTGTCATCCAACATTTCCTAAAGACATTTTTCATTTTTTTTAAACAGTCCGTGTTCCCGCTGGCTTTTGAAACTGCCAGTCCACAACTCTAAAAATTACCAGTCCCCACCATTTTGTTGTCAATCCCAACTTTCAAAAAATTCAAAAACGAATGAAAATTATTTGGTTTTAATTCTTTCAACATTTTGTTCAGTGCAAAGATGTCATCTCTGATGTAACTTAGATCTATAAGTCATTCACTCAAGCTTCAGTCACAATTTTCTCTTTTTTTAATATTTCCAGATGAACTCGCTACAAATGGATATTTAACCCAGAAATAGACATGGGGAAACCCTGATGGTAACAAGACAAGCTGACTTTCTTAAATAAAATGTACTTCTATGAATATCACCAATGTTTTGTTCAACAGGATTTATAAGGTACTTAATTTGCCGGTCCACAGGGACTAGCTGACACATGAATTACCGGTCCAAGCCTAATTTTACCGGTAAAAAACTGTTAATTACCAGTAAACGGGAACGCTGACAGTAACCAAACAGTTATAGAAAAATGATCTGTCAAAATGTGTGAAAAATCATGGAAATGTCCTCATAGCATTTGTCTTCAGCAACATTACTGTTACAGTAAAAGACAACTTCAGCTTGCCAGATGAAAGTATATTTAAGATGTGTGATCAAAATTGATTTGACGATTTTGAACACATTAATGTTAGCTGATTCATGATGTGATGTCGAGTTTTATCACATACACCTTAAGTGATCAGTGAGAAGGGTAATCGCAGTCAAGTTGCTGAACCAAAAGCTTATTTAAATGTTTTGGGGGACCACTGACATTGTACATGTCAGAATAGCTAACCTCTACACTTGCACAAATTTCAAAATTCCGAAGTCAACAAAGGGACCTCTAATATGGCTCAAAGTTCCAGGGTTCAAAATTCATAATGGAGTACCATTGTTATGGCCAATTTGATAACCAAGCAGTACAAAATGAGTTCCCAATGTTTTAAGGCCATATCTACAAATCACATTTCTTAAAACAAAAGTACCTTGTGACGTTTTTTTCTTTGTGAAGTCAGTGAGAAATGTACTTCAGACAAGCATGACAAACCGGAAAACCCCATGGGAAATGAACTTATGAACATGCTTAATGAACAGAATTTGAAATAAATCATTTTATTATCCAAGATCATTTTGTTGGTTTGCATAAACTCCAAAGTGCACACTTGAAAGACTACATTTCTATCTGATTTCACACAAATGCAAAAAGAAACAAGAACTATGTTACAACTATTGTTAAATCTGAAACAACCGATATGTCAACAGGTAGTACATAGATTATACGCCCTTCGTAATACAGACCCTGTTAATGTCAGCTTAGTGTGACATTCTGGTCAAACAGAACTTGAAACGGTGTTAGTCATGATTGGATAATAAGTATGGTATACTAGTTGCATAATATCTTCCTTTTGAATTTGATGGTTATTGAAACAGTTGCCAAAATGAAAATGCTCAATGTAGGATTCAAATATAGCCTCATCCTGATATATCTACACTAGCAGCAATCATCCTGTTGCACTCAATGTTCCTCCTGCCAAATGTTCAATCAGCTGTTTGAGAATAATGGCAATGAATTGAAATTGATGCGATTTTCAAAACATTAAACTGCTAAAAACTGTTCACACCAATGGGCATAATACAAAAAAACAACTTTAGACAATGATTAATAGCTTCAGAAAACAAATACAACTACTAAGGAGGTTCATCTCGCATAAAAAAGTGAAATACAATTTCAAACCATCATGCAGGTATATTCGTTGATATTGTACTTTATTTTACTTTTTTTCTATTGCCAAAATGATCGTGAATAGCACCTTAAAGAAATTACATTAAATGGCTGAACAAAGACAAAAAATATCAGTGTGGAAATTGTTATGTCTGTTCAGTTGCACTAACTTGACATTCATGAAAAGAAAAGAAAAATGTTTTCAAAAATTTTGAATAGGTGAACTGACAAGCGAAAATGTAAAAAAATCAGAAATAAAATGTTTCTTGGTCTATGTCGTGGACGGGAACAAAAAAAAAATCAAGTGTTCCTAAAAAAAGGAAAGAACAGACAGTACCAAGATTATGTTCACACTTGGTTGTCTTCAACATTGACATGCTAATCCACAGTAACCTCTGTATTATTTATTGTCACACATCCTTACAATAAAGCATGCTGCCGCTAACTTCATATTTTAGACACAAGTTTGTAAAAAAAATATAATACATCTACGTTCTAAACGCTGAAATATCAAATGTCATGCACCAATCCCAAAACAGTAATGTTGGACATTTTCTGTTCGTTTGAAAACACTCACTACATCATTCACAAGATGAGAAATACTACATAATCTAACTTAATATATTGAAGAAAGATAACAAAAGCAAAATACAAGCTTGGGCTAATTATTAAATGATAGCACAGAGCATGAGTATCAAATATGATACAAAACCTTGCCCGTAGAATACGATTTGCTCAGGCGGATATCGGTTGTTTGGTCGGAATTGGCCATCTACAAAACACAGTAACAAGCAGTAAATGGAAGTGCTCTTGCACGTTTTGATATTAGTAGGAACCTCGAAGAAATACTATTTTCCAGTTTAATGCCCCCCCCCTGTTAAATTACTTCAAAAGCTGCTCTCGATCACTACATGACATTTGAATGGTAAGGAAATGCGGTGATAACTGTAGTCTGTAGATAAATCTTTTCCGAGAGAAACCCAAGACAAGGAGATCTTTTCACTGGAAGATCACGAAAAGTGCTTTCAGCCCATACTTGAATCTTGTCTTAAAACATGGCCGACAAATTGACACTTCTTGTGGATTATATCAAACAGAAGTAAGTGCAAGATCACTTCCACAATCAATGCAATTTGATGTACAGTATCATCTTGTTAAAAGCATTTATATTATTCAACTGCTAAATGTGAAGAAAAAATTCATATTCACAGCAAAAATATACCTCCACTTCACAATAAATCTTAAATTAAGACAAACAGGTGTAGTGTAAGTTTTATTTCAAATCAAAACAATAAATACCACCAGAGCTTACAGCAACACACAGAGTGATGGTAATGACAAGAGGCTAGGAATGCACAAGTCAACGTTAACTGGTCAAGCGGGAGCTCACATGCACCTTAATAACTGGTCAAATACTCCAAATTGAAAGAAATACATTCAACTTCCTAGGAAAACAGCACGATTTTACTATCTAGGAAAGACTTGTCAATAATTGATACAATACAATTTCTTTTCAGCTGCAACGATATATTTCAAAATATTTCTTACATTAAATGGCAGGGTTAGAAATTGGCACTAGTCCTATAGCCCTTGCCAAACTGCCCAATGGTAAAGGTATCACAAGGACTAGTAGAAAATTGCCATTTTTAAGGGTTTTGCTATATGTTATCATTATAAGGACTAGTGGACGAAAACTGTTAGTTTCTAACACTGAAATGGCATATTTTGTATTCCCTACACTTCCCAAAAGCACTTATTTTCAAGACGGGTACGCCTGACATGCTTATCACTGCTAATATACCAGCATATAAGGATAATGCTGATATCGCTATAAGTGACACAAGATCACGGGAATCAGACAGTATACAAGCTTTATAGAAAGATGTCCTTCAAAAATTATGATTCAAAATTTAAGTTGTCTTGAACCTTAAGTATACAAAAGAAGTTCTTTTCAACATGTTCAAATGGCTTACTTATTTCAGTCTCACTTACACCCTTGATTTCCTATGCAGGTATAGAGAAAACAATTTCTTCTTTTACACAGTAGTAACAAGGTAGGTATAACTCTTATATTAAGAACGCATGCACTTGATGTAAACATTTCTATACAGCACTAAGATCACAGGTCTACCATCAAGCTGTTTTCTATTTCTTTGTATGATCGCTCACTTATTAAAAAGGGATAAGAAAAGAACATGTACAAAGTTTAAATGGTTCATTCTTAAGTTGGTAACGATGTCCATACTGTGACAATTTTAAAAAGGGAATCATTCTCAATTTAAACCAAATAATTTCCTGTTGCATGCGGCACTTTTCGTAATGTTGTACATGACACCAAAGATCAATGGCAGGCCTGTGGAAATAAAACCAAATCTCCCAACCAACATTTGGAAATACCGCTGAGCAGGTGGTGCTACCGGAAATACCTGTTGCCGACCTGCAACAACAACTACTCACTGTTAGGTGGCCCAGCTGGGAAAGCCTGGGCAGTCCAATCACCGCGACCACGGCCTCGGCTGGCGCCGTTCAAGTCTAGCCCAGCAAACTGTTAACATAAAACCAAATGTACGACTGCACAGATTCAGCAAGAACTTCATACAAAGTACTAAATTGCACAAAGCGATCTTGAGCTATGATTATTGTAAGCCTATGTTAAATTAAGGGAGTTATGATCATTTTAGCGCCAAGATCGCTTTGTGCAAGTGGGCCCAGAAGCCACAATCAACATGATCAAAATATGGTAGCGATATCCATATCCACTGGACAGGTAGAAATGTCTAAAGTACTGTCGATATGTACTGTAACATAACATTTAGGAAAGTATTTTTTATTGCACGGATTAGTGTTTGTTTCTTGCTGCACATCGCTATGCAAGACTGTAAATTATCTAGACCACATAATTCAGTGATCGTCATGAGCATAGATCCATGGTAGTTAAAGTCAATCTGATCATCCACTAAGTCGCCTGTTATGACAAGCATATATTGCCGTGATCCATATTTGTACCCAGTATTCCCACAGTGCCATATGGATTAGCCACTTACCGACAGTGACTTTAGCAACTAGGCCACAACCAGAATCCAGCAAAATTTTGTTCAGCGTAGTAAGCTCAGCTAATATAAATTATAATACCAAGCTAATAACACGAAGCTGTACTAATGCTACTAGCCAAGTTCTGGCTAGTTTTTAGGGCACAGTTTCTACATTTGCCATGTGTTCAAAATTATTATCTCATAGAATCTGTTTGGCTTTTGGACTTATATTTGTTCAAACAGGGGGTCAATGTGCTTAAAATCCTTCCAAAACAAAACACAACATTGAAGACAAGCGAGGAACTGCTCTAACTGGTAAGCAAATGGAATGATCATGGTAAGAAGTTAACTAAATCAGCCGATTCAACCCTTATTTCCAATGTCTGCTTCTTTATTAGTTTGAGGCACCTGACACCTGGTAGTTTACCAGTGATTATCAGTGTTCATGGTGGCGTTTGAAACACTAAAAATTACCAGTCCCCCTTAATTTTTTGTCAGTCCAAACTTTCCACAAATAAATAAACATATGAAAATGACCTGGCTTTAATTCTTTCGACATGTTTGATTGAAAAGATGTCATCTCTGAAGTAACCTAGTTAGATCTACTCGTCATTCACACAAAGTTCAGTCACAATTTACACCTTTTTTTTTATATTTCTGGACGCTGTCGCTATGAATATATACTTAACCTCAAACCAAAGCAAAATGTTATTTCCTTGTACTACAAATGGACAACAGGACACCCTGATGGTAACAGACAAGCTGAGCGATAAAAAACGTACTTATTTGAATATCACCAGTGTTTGGTTCAACAACAACTTATAAGGTACTTTATTTGCCGGTCCATAGGGACTGGCAGTCAAATAAATTACCAGTCCAAGCCTAATTTTACCGGTAAAAAGAACTGGTAAATAAGAACACTGTATTATCTACAATTGATCTTGCTCAGACCCTCTGAAATATGTCATTTTAAGAATAGGATCAATATCAATGAATAACATCACTTGCCAATTCAACCAAAGCAATAGGCCCAGTTCTCACGGGTCTAAGCTTCCATGTTGCAAGAAGAAAATGTCTTACATTAATTCACCTAAAGTATGTATTATAATTGAACACGAAAAAAAAAAATTCAACTTGTTCATAATTGTCATTTTGCAGTGAGATATCAATACTTCACTGGCTTGTCATAGTTCTACAGTAGATTCTCCAACCGTGAATACACATTGACACTGTGTTGTGCAATAGACTAGATGTGTGTATTTTTAAAAGCTAATACCAGATAACCGAGCCAACAAAAGGCAATCTTCCTACTATCTATAAATCAATTTAAAACTCTATATTTATCTAGGTTGCCAAACTTAGTTACTGTAAGTGCATGTGGGAAGCAATTTGGAACATCGTGGCCAAAACTGTTTTTCTAAAATATAACAAAATTCAGAGGTATCCACAATGGCTTCTCATGAGCCCTACTCAGTGCATGAACTTTGTGTAAACCCAACCACTGCCTGATATTGAAGCAATGTGAAAAGATGAAGGTCACAATGCTATTTAGCACACATGTCAGGAGAGGATCATTGCTGTAAGCATCATGTGATCTGTGTCCTAAAAGGTCTTTGCATTTGCTGGATAACTACCTCATAGCAGTCATAATTATATTCAAAGGTGGAGGATGATTACATATACTAATATAGTAATATGAAATATTAATGGTCACAAAGTGCTTCTTTAATAAACATCTTATTTGAAACTCAAATTTGTGCTTTTGGAATAATGGTTCAGACTGTAATAACAGGATTCATTATCGTAAACACTTAACATCTAAACCAATACTGAAATACAAGAAAAATAAGAATGGCGCATTGTCCTATACAAACCATGCATGATAATTTTCCCGATCCTACCAAACATGTCATCGTATAGTCACAAATTTGGTTTCATTTTGATCTACACTAATTTGGAACAAAATGAACAGATGTGATAAGAAAATCAATATTTTGAATTTAACAATTTTGATTCTTCTTGTAACTTCTTAATTCATGAGACTGTTTCTGAACTGCAAATCTCAACGCAAGAATAGATGATACTAGTGAACTCAGTGAGATTCCTAGTTAAGATTAAGCATCCATGGACCATGTTCTACTTTTAGAACATTGTTTTTCACATGTAGCGATGTGTGACATGGTTCTGTAAGAAGGCCTCTCCCTATTAACGGAAATTGTCGAAGGTAGACTATAGTGTGAATATACAAAACTGATAAATCGTGGTCCCGATTTCAACTTACAAATCTGATTTTTCATCATCATGCGCAATTACGATCAAACGAAGCGGGCATATATCTCATGACAGTGCAGAAATTAGGCCCATTATTTCAGGCTCATCTACAGATCAATGAAGTCCATGAGAACATGAAATCCCTAACTTCCCTACCACCGTCCAAAACCATGCGGCCTCAGCTAGCCTATTAAGGACCACGCGACCCCGACCGCGAACTGTGGAAAATTTTGTTCAAAGGAATTTCTTCCAGCTAAAACAACATTCATGAAATGACTATTCACATCGAAAAGCTCTTACTCGTTGATGAATTTATGTTTTGAAAACAAAGAAAAACCTTTTCAACAGGAAAGATATAACAATGAGAGTGAATTTGTGCGATCGCTGTTCACGCTCTCTTCACGTGGTCGGCGAGATCGCCATGCCATTTCAGAGCACAAAATAGAACGACACTAATTTAGGTCAAAATCGCAGTTTAACTAAATATTTTCTGTAAAAGATTCGACAGAATATGTCTACACAATATACCTGCTGCTCTAGACCCTTTCCATTTTGATGGGTATCATTGGGATTCATACGGAAGGTTGTCGTTTCCCTTTACCGACGAAAGATGGATAAAACAAGATGGAGTAGAGTCCACAAAGAACGCTATTTATAGTCTCATTTCGCTGACCTAGGGACCAGTAAGTGTGTCGATCTGTATATTGACCATTGTGTTATATTTTAGTTATTTACTACATTAACCATGTATTTCCCTTATAGTTTCACTTATGTTTGCGGTTAGTATACCTTAAGTGATAAATGTGTCCTGGTTTTATGTAAATATCAAACGAGAAAAATAATGTCTCCCTACAGCCATACCCAGCACACAAAGGACAGCAGAAATGTAGAAAGAAACTACAAATCTCGCCGCTAGAAAACATACATCTAAATTAAATGTCGTTCTTGCGTTTACTATTTATTTGATTGTTTCATTACATCTGCACCCCGTGGAGTGACATTATATTATGATACGGCTAAATTGTGTAATTACAATTGCTTTAATCATTATTCGTTCCTATTTATTAAACCAGAGACCATGAAATATATTATTTTATCGTTCTTGTTTTAACATGTTCAGTTTAAATGTTCATTAAAATACCTAGCCAAATCGCACCTAGGCAAACTCATTTACAAATAAGATATTTACATACTACATGTATTTTTTTGTATACAAATGATACCGACAAATTACAATATATCTGAGAGAAAATAGAAATATCTGATGTGACAATTGCAGCTTTTCGAAACATCATAGTTTCCTAAAAACATTTTTCAGTGATCGATGTTGAACACTCAAAAAATTAGATCTGACTAGTTTCAGGGTGTTTATTAACAATTGAAAAATTAGTTTTCACCTTGTATGCTTTTTGTGGATATATTGGATTTCATCTACGTCATCGTAGACGATCTGTACACCACTTACATCGGCGTGACGGTGAAGGCGACGTTCGACAGCCAAATAATAGTCACCTCGGTTATCCAGTCTATCGTATTCTAATATGGCAAAGATATATGCGTTCGAACTATCTATAGCATTCCATCACCGAGAACGTGGTCTCTCTCTCTCTCTCTCTCTCTCTCTCTCTCTCTCTCTCTCTCTCTCTCTCTCTCGATGTTTCTTATTTTATAAATGCGATCAGGAAAATATCGCATCTCATTCAAAAAGGAAAAGGTCTTCAGCAACCCATGCTTGCCGTAAAAGGCGACTATGCTTGTCGTAAAAGGCGACTACCGGGATCGGGTGGTCAGGCTCGCTGACTTGGTTGACGCACGTCATCGATCCCAATTGCGTGGACCGATATGTTCATGATGTAAATCACTGGATTGTCTGGTCCAGACTCGATTATTTACAGACCGCCGTCATATAGCTGGAATATTGCTGAGTGCGGCGTATATTAAAAGTGAGAATGGCTTTACGTCGCATTTAGCAATACTCCAGTAATATTCTCGCTTTTACCAATAGGGTTCGATTCCCGACATGGGTACAATGTGTGAAGCCAATTTCTGGTGTCCCCCGCCGTGATATTGCTGGAATATTGCTAAAAGCGGCGTAAAACCATACTCACTCACTCACTCACTCACTTTTACCAATAATTATTGGCTATCCCACAGCCTTTGTATATTATAAACATAAATGTACATAGTATATATCTTGAATAAACGCCTTCTTACAAGTACATACTAAATATCTGTTTGGTATTACCTTTATAACACATATATACTTTTAAACACACCTAACATTTGTTACCAAACAAGATGGGATAATTTAGAAGCCTTGGACCTGGCGTCTATTCTGTTTATATATTCTGAGATCCCCAAATCCCTAATATTCCACGACACACTGACACAAGTTGAGTAGGTTAGAACACATTAAGCACTTCGTGCACGTGCAATTTGTGATTCACGACCAATTTTGACGCATTTAGAAGATAAACATACTGTGTTTTATGTAGAGCTAGATTACCTGCAGATTTTTCCTCGCTGAATTGTATTGCGTATACAAAGAAGACGTAACAAGTAAGGTACATATATGTAAACAGAGACGCGAGAGCCCTGACCTGGAATTGGGAGATAGTCAGAGATAAGAGAGGTCGTAAAATCCTTCAGTAGGAATATATACCCCAGGCCCATACAAGATTACTACGGAAGCTATTAAGAGCTTTTTAAAAAAAATAAAATTCTTAAACTTTTAAGATACTAAGTTGAAATTTCAAGATACATAAGTTGAAATTTCAAGGTTAATAAGTTGAAATTTCAAGATAGAAATTTCAAATTAGTATCTTGAAATTTTAAAATAGTATCGAAAAAATATTTTTTAAAATGGCCCTAAAAGGCTTCCGTAAATTGCAACATTAATGAACATATTATTTATGCAGGAGAACATCTTATTTCATCCTTATGTAGATTTTATAATCTTCGGATAAAACTGCAGTATGTACCCTATGACAATAGACTTGGCATGGCCATACCAATATATAAGGGGAGGAAGGAGAAATCGGATTGTCGAAATTATAGAGGTATAACTTTGACATGTCTTTGAAACACTACTGCTCAAACGCACAGAAGAAACATTGTTTTCGTGATATGTTACAGTTTGGATTTAGCCATTATGCCTGTATTTACCTTGATAGAAGGTATTCAATATTACATACAAAGAGACTCTACAGTCTATGCTGCTTTCTTAGATGATGAAAACGCATTCGATAGAATGTGGCACAATGGGTTTCTTTACAAGGTGAGGTGAAATTGGGTTTAACGTCGCGTCCAAGATTATTGCACTTATATGTGGCTACGTATACGTGTGTGTGGCTGCTTGTACTAGTCCGGACTGATGCCGATTTATAGTGCTAGCTCACTGATATACCATGCCGCAGTTTAAAATGAATACCCCATTCAGACACAGTATACTGACCCCGAGCCGACCAGTCCTTGTTTTCGCCCCTTAATACCGAGCGCCAGACAGGGTAACAACAAGTACCATCTTTTAACGTCTTTTGGTATGTCGCGGCTGGGGATCGAACCCCGGACCTTCCGCTCTCCGGGCGGACGCTCTACCACTATACCACGGAGGCGGCCAGGTTTCTTTTCAAACAACATGAACTAGGTATCAGAGCTAATACACGGAACCAACTACATCATTGATATACAGATAGTTATGATTATAATTCCTACCAGGGTGAACAATCAGACGGATAAATTGTTCGGCAAGGTGTAGGACAAGGCAATATAATCTCTGCTTGTTTTTCCTTGTTTTTGTCATAGTCCCAAAATACATCATATTTTCTTCTATTTTTTGTAAATAATTTTGACTTTATAAAATAAGACTAAACATCATATTTTGGGTATGTTACTTAATAATTTGTGTACTACAATTAACTATCAGTCGGTTTTTGAATACACCGGCCTTCATTCACAAGGTTGGGTTGATAAGCACTATGTATTAAGCGTTAAGACTACATTGTGTAGTCGAAAGGCATTATGTATTAAGCGTTAAGCCTACATGCATGTTCCGTCCAAAGTTATTATCAGTCGGTGTTGATATACGCCTGCCTTCATTCCCAAGATTTAGTCTATAAGCGTTATGAGCTAATTGTTAAGACTACATGTGTGTAGTCGAACGGCATTATGTATTAAGCGTTAAGACTACATGCATGTTCTGTCCAAAGTTATTATCAGTCGTTGTTGATATACGCCTGCCTTCATTCCCAAGATTTAGTCTATAAGCGTTAGGAGCTAATCGTTAAGACTGCATGTCCAGCGTGAGAAGTAAACATTATTCTATGATAACGCGCTCTCCAAGAAAACTTATGTAATTTTAGTCATTTCTGCATACTCATGTCCTTCAAAACTGAGAGGTAATCTCTGAAATTCAGATAGTCAGCATGTTAGATTAGCAACATTGTGTAGATATTGTTTAAGTAAGTGATAATTGAAAATGCGACCGTATCATGACCTAAGAGCATCAGTGGTATAAATAACGGCCTTTATTCCGGGTACCTCACTGTTGAGACACACGGAATAAAGACTGGCCACTAATAGATGCTTCTCTTGGTTGTTTTAAGGTAAGATATGTTCACTTCATGTATATTGTATGTTCTTAAACTATATTCCTATTTTTCCTGTTTTCTATTGCATTCTATATTCTCAGTTGGTTTGAATATAATCAACATTTTAAATTAGGCAAGAATGACTAAGGTAACCAGTAAAGTTAGTATTATAGTAAGGTTAGATCATGTAGCACGAAAAACAATCTAACAATATAGTGTATATTAAAATAGTATAAAATATAATATGATAACGTTTTTAGACATTGGTTCAGCAAATTTATATTCCGCCGGGCTCGTGGAAGCAAAGTAATTCCTGTGCATCTGTTGTCAATTGTATATTTTATTGAATGTTTGCAATTGAAGTGTGCATGTATGTAAATGAATGCATCTTTAAATGATTACTGTGTGTGTTCCATTCAAATGATTCAAACTACCCTTGATGTAATTAATGTTAAAACAATGTACTTATTGAGCGAGGCAACTGTACTGTACACGCAAAACCCGTGCGCGCACATAACACTTGTTGTTTAATTCAGCTGCTCATGTATTGCTATATCTTCAGTATTATTAAGCTCTATTTATTTCTACGTTGTACACATTCAATGACATGCCTTCGGGCATATAACTTTTTGTTATTAACGGTAGTTTAGATATAAAACATGTGGCCATATTATTTAATTAGCAGATTGAAATCTTATTAATATTTGTATATTCTATTATTCGGTTTAAGTTGTATTCTGTAAGGTTGTATTGAAGTAAAGTTCATCTTTACGTTGCACATAAACATTAAAAGATCATGTAAGGTTATTTTAGTAATGGGTGAGATATTTGTTAATAATTCTATATTCTTATTATTCGGTTTAAGTTGTATTCTGTAAGGTTAGGTCATCTTTACGTTTCGCATAAACATTAACAGATCATGTAAGATTATTTTAGTAATGGGTGAGATATTTATTAATATTTCTATATTCCTATTATTCGGTTTAAGTTGTATTCTGTAAGGTTAGGTCATCTTTACGTTTCGCATAAACATTAAAAGATCATGTAAGATTATTT